GGTTAAGATCCCCTTGCTGGTCATCTTTAAAAAAAAAAAAAAAGAAAATATACAGTTTGACTTTAAATATTTAATACATTATTTTAGATTATTAGATATGCAAATATTCAGGTCCTGCTGGAAAAACAATTCAGCAGGTGGCATCCACCCATCTGTAAATGTTGTGCATCCAACATTAACACCACACTGATGTCAATTATGCAGATAAGCCAGGGCCTTAGAGAAATCAACTGGACCTCAGAGTAACCTGCTTACAAGACAGGAAACTAGTGATACAGATACAGCATTTTACTGCTCCAGGCTATGTATGGACAACGTTATATCCATAAAACAGTTGGTAAAGAAAGTTAAGGTAGTTGAAAAGTCTTTGGCTCATAAGAATTTTTACTTTTTAAAAGAGTAATCTCACGAGTTCCTTGGCAATTTTTATTGTAATGAATGCCTTGTTACTATTAACTAATATTTAGTTAGGAGTGAAAATATTTGAATACTTGACTTTAAAATATTCTTCCTCTGACATGATACTGACATGTTTGTAGGGAAATCCACCAAGTCAGACACACTAACATTGTATATATTACCTAAATCCACACTCCTCCATATGAGGGTTCTTCAAAAAGTTCATGGAAAGATTAGTATTATTATTAATTATATTAATTCTATTTTTTATCTTAATTCTATTTTTCCATGAACTTTTGGAAGTACCCTCGTATATGCTGTACAGATATATTCTATGATGGCATATTTCAAAATATATTGCAACATTTTATTAACTATATATTTACTGCCCTCTAACACTATCTCATACTTTTTCTGATCCTCAATTGTGCTGTGGTTAAGAAACTTCCTATCAAAAGACATTTAGAAACTGATTATTAAATTGAAACTGGAGTAGGCTGGTTTGACACAAGTTAGATATGTACTTCCCTGAGTGATTGTTTCAATTGATAAATTAAATCAGAAAAGTTTGAGCCAAAAAAAAAAGGAAATGATCTAAATACATAACTTTGTATTGCAAATTGATACTATACTAGAATAAAGAACAATTATTAAGCACTAAAAAATGCTTTATTATAATAATCATTAATAAAAATTTAATCTTTAAAAAATATTTTGTTACAAATCATATTTTACTTTTTAAAAAGGTTTTAAAATATACTTGAGAAATAAATCCTCTAATACGACATCTTGCAAGATAAATATGAACATCAATATTAGTAATACTCATAGTTTTAAAAAGTGAATTCTTTAAGAAACCTAGCATGGAACACATCTTAAAATTTTTTCCTCGAAATATTGTGCAAAATTCCACAGAATATTTGAAAGTTTCAAATTATGGGAGAGGATATAAAAGAAAAAAAGGCAAAAAAAAAAAAAATCAAAATAATTATCTTTAAGTATTTGTAATGGTATCATTTATTTTCTTTATGAAAAAAAGGTTCATTTTGAAAATGAATGCAACTATTCTCATAATAGGAACAAAAGAAGCTCCTGTTCCTCAAGAAAAGGAAAAATTAACAAAGCTTAGAAATCAGAAGTCTTAAGACGGATAAATGTGTAACAACATGTTTCCCCAACTGGATTTCTTTACCATATAGTGTGACATTTTCTAATGGTGGTGGTGGTGGGGAGAGGTGAGAAGAAACAGTACAATTTAATAAAACAGAAGTATTTTCTCGACATAAGTTGTAGCCACTGCTTTGATTTTTGAGTTATCTCAGGGCCAGTAAGTATACACCTTAGTACATGAAACAAAACTAGAAGCTATACTTAGAATGTAGTCTTTGTTTCTTCTTTCTACAAAGTCTATGTTTCCTAATATCATTGTTAGGCAAAGCAAAAGGAAATGTTTGTTCTATTACGTAAGAAATAAACTTCATTTGGTATTCAATTGACTTTCTAACTTAGCAGACAGGACTTTACATCTTCAAATACTGAAAATAAATTACATTCTTGGCCCTTGCTTTAAAAGGTTATAGAAAATAAATGCACACCCTGGTAGTGTTCTAGTGATCTCCCTAATCTCAGTTGCACTTTGTCAGAACGAGGTAACTGGTAGTTAAGTGAAATACCCTAGATCAAAGGGGGATTAATCACCAACTGAATCCTTGCTGAATAAACCTGTCATTCAAGAAAATTATTTCCACTGAACTTAGCAAAGGATTGAAGGTATTTGCATAACAGGGACTAGCGTACTTCAGCCAGGTTAAAAGGTTCAGAATTCATCCCATGTTTAGCTTTTTGCCTCCTTTTCCTTTCAGCAGCCTGGTACAATGGTTTCTAATCTGATAATACAGCTAACTATCTAAATGATGTCAGAACAGGAAAGTATTGCAAAGTTTGGATGAGGGATGGATCAATTTCACTTTCAGTAACTGCTAAATCTGATTTGTTGGAATTTAAGATGTAATCCTAAAAAAGTCCCTTAAACCTGAGGACTGTTTATTAACATCCCTTTTTTGACCTTTGTCTTAGGAACAACCATTTTGCTGTGACAGCAGTCCCCACAGAGGTTCTGGGTGATAATTCCACCTATCTACTTCTCAGGGGTAGTGTAGGAGTCTATGAACATCCGTGAAGTATTCTGAAATACTATAACAAAAAATAGAATAAAAAATATTCACAGTTACTATGTATAAAATGTTAATCTGAAAGATTTAAAATTATACAATGTACAAAACCATAATAATTTAAACCTAGTAGAAACAGTGAGTTGAAAAAATTAAATTATTTTATGGGACAGACGAATGTTTAATAAAAAATTTTTTTAAACAAATAATTCTCATAAAAATTCCTTATGAGGCTTTTTACTTCCAACTTGACGTTTGAACCAATTATTTAAGAAGTAAAAAAATGCCACCACTGTAAGAATGTTGCCTAACTATATTGACGGTTTTATAAAGTTTAAAAAAATATTTTTAGTAAAAAATGGAGAAAAGAAAAGTTTTATCAAAACTATGAATCATCTTTTCTGGAGTTCATTCTCAGAAATTTAACACTTTCCTTTTTTTTTTTTTACCTTTTGGGATTACTAAAGAATAATTACCCATATGATAGACATCAGATTTCATAATCATATTTTGGCACTAAAAGTGAATTTAGCGATTTTGCATCTAGAATGGGTCTCCCACCATCCAAATCTTTCACTGGAAGTAGTTGCACATATTCACTGAAAACGCAAAGCATCTTTCAAGTTTAAAAATGCAAAGAATAGTTATCAAAGAAAATGAATAAAATCCATAGTGAGATAATTTTTTAGAAAATGATTGAAGTTTTAACCCAAGAAAGGACTCTTAGAGTGTCTTATAGCTTAGAATAAGAACATGTCAATCACGATTAAGCTTCTGGAATCGGAATCCCTTTGAAATGCAGCTGTTTCTTCTTTAATTGTGGCAGCAGATTCTGAAGAAAAGAAAGGTCCAGCCTTAAAGATGAGTAAGGAATACAAAACAGCTCAGGATTAGTTCTAGAGTTCAAAGGTCGCTAATTACACTAAGGAGTTCCCAGACACAGGGAAAACATTAAACAGGTCACCTACCAAACGGGAAACAGACTTTGTCTTCAGAAATTATCCTGAAGTGACAGGTTTCTAGACAAAATCAAAAGCATCACAGTGTGCCCAGTTGATCTCATTGGGGTGAAAACATGAGTTGGTTTAGTTCTGTACCATTATGTTAGAACGGCAACAGATGGCATCAGGTTCCCTATCACCCCTACACTTTTCCAATACTCCCTAGATTTTCCTCAGGTCTGTAGAAATGTCAAGTCAAAGATTCACTGGTTTTTCTAATTGTTTATAAAGAAAGGTTTGCCTAGGGGATTATTATACTGAATTTTTGCCTATTTATTAGATAACTGCCTCTTGCCTACATTAGTGTGCTTTGCTAAACATTTATACAATCAAGATTTCCAAATGGCTCCATTAATATTAACATAAGTGAAATGTTAAGCTTTCTTTGAGTTTAAGAGAGATCAAATAACTCATAGGGAATGGTATTTTCTTCTTTCGAAAGAAAAGTTTTTACTGCTGATTATCTATGATTAAGTTGGAATAACAAGTCAAAGCCCTGGTCAGGCAGTTATTCTCCTTTCTTTGTTACTTGGAATAATTCTGAACATAGAACCTTAGGCCATGATAATGCTTTGCAGAAAATGAGTTTATAGTGAGTAGGACTGACCTTAATTAAAAAATCATGTATCAAATCCCAAATTTATATGCACTATCCTTTCAAACTATCATAGTTCTCTTTCTAGGAGTTAGCAGCTTTTTCTAAGCCTTTCCTTAGGAGACTCATTAAAAAACAGAATCCAAGATATAATTAAATTGAATATTAATCTGTAATGCATATTTTTCATAATGCTTCTAATTCTGTTCTGTAAAAAGAAACTTGACATGAATTAAGTTTTGAGGATCTTGAGATTTTATTTTTTTCTTGAATGGTCACTTAAAAGTCCAACTTGACAATAAACTGCTCTGAAAACAGAATGTGACATATAATTGTAGAGACAGGTAGAGAATAAAGAGTATGACTAAATGGTCTCTGAAAAAACCAAAAGAATGGTAATAAAAAAGTGACAGTACTGGCCAGTTAGCTCAGTTGGTTAGAGTGTGGTGTTACAAGTCAAGAGTTCGGATCCCCATATAGGCCAACCACAAAAAAAATTATATTAAAAAAAAGTGAGAGTGACAAATTTAAAGAAAATATGCTAAATGAGACTAAAATAACATTAAATAATACTCTCTATCCACACAATGGCTTTTAAATTTTTACCTGAATTTATTAATGAATTTTAATTTAATAAAACACAAAAAAGCAATATGACACCTAAATTTATCTTTAAAAATTTGGCTGCAGACATTAAATGATCACATAACACTATGCTCATCTTCTAAAGGTATCTTGTCCATCTTAATATGCCTATTGATATCCTAAGCAGAATGTTACTGTGGCAGATTAACAAGCTTACTTAAAAAGAAACTCTAGAACAGAGATACACCCTTTAAACACAATTATGCAGATTCTTTATTAGTCAAAAGGATAGTTCTGATTAAGAAGAACAGGTTAGTATTTAAACAATTTTCCTGTGTCTCCTTTGGCTGTTTTTTCAAGAGACTTATAGTTATTTTTAATGTGGTTTCTGGTATTCTATAACAAAATGTTGTGTTAAGACCTTAGTACTTAGGTTTGAAATAGCAAATAATGTTTAACTTGCACATTATCTATAATCCATTGGGAGTGGCTGCCAGGAAGGCTCAGTATAGGAAGAGGGCTATGATTGATTAGCAATGTCTGCCACAGGGGCAAGAAGGAACAAGTGTGGCAGGGTGACCCAGGACTAGTCTAAAATAAATCAAAGCGAATCATTACTTTTCTATGTTCTGAATTGTACTGGCATAAAATCAAAGGGTAACAACATTACAGACATTAGCCTTTAAAATGTTCTTTCAAACTATATCAGACTAAAAACATTACATAAGAGTATTTCTATAATTAAATCATTCAATGAGTTTTCACTTACAGGTTATATGCATCCACATTAAAAATAAGACTATGATTTTATCTAAGCCATGTTACCATTATATAAATCCCATTTAAACATGAGAAAATTACAGTAATAATGATCCATATGTTACTGGAGCAGGGGCTTTAGAATTCCAGATGTAATAATCAGAAGAAATTAATTTCCGGTCTAAGAAAAAGAAAAAAAAGAAATTGACGATAAGAGTACTTTATCTCCACTAAAATTCAATGAGAAAGCAAAGTCATAATTTTTTAAAATTGTGCAATGTAATCATTTCAAGGCAATACTTTGAAATACTTTAATTTTACTTTATCAAGACATTATTATTACTTTTACTACTTTAAAAATATGGGCTTATTAAATATTTGAAAAAGCTATCTTTGAGCTTATATGAAATATTCCTCACTTATGCTAAATCTGCCAGTTTTATCCTCACATTTACTCTAAATTCTGTTTCTTGTGGATCTTCACTTCAACTGCAAAAACATTTAAAGAATTTTTTTTGTTTCCCTTCTGCAACCTCTTCACCATGGTCCTGACTCTGGTCTTGCTATTCTTTATCCATTCAAAATGTCAGAAATATAAATCAATATCCAACTTTCTAGCAACATTCTAAATACGTTGCTTTACTAGTTTCATATTATAGTTCTGATCAAATTTAAGTCTTTTGTTTTAACAGCTTTGTATCTCTACAAAAACAGCAACCTCTTTGAACTAAAGTTTTCTGATATGTAAAACTGAGATGATAATGTTCATCTGGAGTTAGACACATGTAAATTTCTATCATTATATATATCACTAAATATCCATTTCAGCCTTTTCTGCCTTTCTTCTTCATGCTCTTCATCATAAAGAAAATACAGGATCTATATTATCTTGCCTTCTTTTTTCTTAAAAGTTGAGAGCCCAGTAACATTAGGAAGCAACAGCATTTTAATGGCTCCAGGGCCAGACTACTTGAGTTTGAGTCCCAGTTCTGCCATTTACTGGTTATGTGACCCTAATCTCTCTGTTCCATCAGCATCCTCATCTGTAAAATGGAGATAACAACACTTATATAGGCTACTATGAGGATCAACAAGTTAATATACATAAAACACTTAGAAATGTGCCTGGCACACAGTAAGCAATAAATGTTAGATTACTATTTAAATTAGCATTATTATTACCAAACTATTTTCAGAACTTAGTTGTATATTATGAATACAGATTTTATTGTTAAGACAATGGCAAAAATAAAGGTTTTACAAAGTTGAACAAGCTGGCACTCAATGTTCTGAAACTAACAGAGAAAAGAGATAAAAGATTGGTCATAATAATCCATTTAAAATGAGCTCTTTCACTCCATATATTTCGTATTAAGAGGCAGGTGTATTACCGAAACTTCTTATCCTGTATTATGATATCTGAAAATGACTGCAATATTTTTAGTTAATATTAATAAAATACTTTAAATGTTTTGGGTACTACCTAAGGAGACAACATATTCCCTATAGACAATCTAAAATACTGGTCTGTTTGCGTTCTGTATCCCATAGATACATTCTGAAATATTAGTTTTTTTGCATTTAGATAGTTTTGGGTACTACCTAAGGAGACAACATATTCCCTATAGACAATCTAAAATACTGGTCTGTCTGTGTTCTGTATCCCATAGATACATTCTGAAATATTAGTTTTTTTGCATTTAGATAAAACCACTGGTTTATCCAACATTATGGCTTCATTAAAAAAAATGCATTATGGGCTGGCCCGGTGGCGCACTGCTACAGTGTGCCGCTTGGGAAGCGCGGCAGCGCTCCCGCCGAGGGTTCGGAC